ATAAGAAATTCAAAGCAAGGAGAGGTCACACTACTATGGAAAAGATAATGAGAGAAGTAAGTAAATAAGGTGGGAATAGTCTTAAAATACAATACTATTGTGTGTGTGTGTGTGTGTGTGTGTGTGTGTGTATGTGTGTGTGTGTGTGTGTGTGTGTGTGTGTGTGTGTGTGTGTGTGTGTGTACCAAGGTTCAAACTTAGGACCTCAAACTCTCACAATGTTTTACTCATGGCTGGTTCTGTACTGTACCATTTGAGTGGTACCTCCAGTACAGATTTTTGCTAGTTAATTAAAATCTCTTGGACTTTTCTACCAGGGCTGACTTTGAGCTGCAATCCTTGGATTTCAGCCTACTGAGCAGCTAGGATTCCAAGCATGAAGCACTAGCACACATCTTGAAAGGCAATGAGATGTGCTTAGCCAAGGCTGTCCATCAAAGGCACCTGCATAGAGCATCCTCAGAGCACTGCACCCTCAGAGGCTGGCTACAGCTATGGGATGCATGCTGTGTCAGTGAGTGCTGAGATGTGTCTGTACAACAGATGGTGCAGGTCTTTGGTCCATGATGCCTTCTAGCTAGAGATCATGCTGATCTCTAAATGACCTGGACAGCTTTAAATAAAGAATTATGAAGAGGAAGGCATGGTGACACATACCTATAATCCCAGATACTCAGAAGGTGAAGGTAGGAGGATAAAAGTCTGAGGCTAGCCCAAGCCATAGAATAAAACTATCTGAAAACAAACTAAAGCAAAAAGGACTGGGAGCATGGTTCAAGTGGTACACAGCCTGTCTAGTGAGCACAAGGCCCCAAGTCCAAACCAAAGTACTCCTAAAAGGAATAAGAAATAATCACTAAACTCTAATACAGAGTGATGTGAGGAGCTAAACACACTCTCCATGGTTTCCTGAGGTTTAGGGAGACAGCAAAGGAAGCCCAACCTCAGATGGGGTGTAACTTGAGACATTTCCAGAGGTATAGCTCAGTCCTCAAGAGTAGGATCATTGACTGGTTTGCCCTGGCTGGGGCTGATGTGCTGTCCCAGGACAAAGGAATGCAGGTCATGGGGCTTCAGGCATAGAGAAGCCAGCCGTGAGAGTACAGGCAGTGGCTCAGAGGAAGTCAAGCATGACCTGCAGAGGCATTGGGATGCTGTGTGAAGCAATGGTCTTTGTGTTGAGATGCCAAGGGACAGGACACCAGACTACTGTGGTTCTGAGCAGCAGGCTGGGGCAGAGCTTCCGCACAATTTTCACAGTTAACCACACATGCATAATTCCCCTGGGCACTTCCTCTCACTGTGTCCCTCCAGTGCCCTGTCTTCAGGCTGGTCACCATGGTGTCCACCCTGAAGGAATGTCATCGAGTATTAAACAACAGGAGCAGAAGGCAATAATGTACTGATGACTGCAAAATGTGGGTTGACTCAGTAACCTGACTAAGTTAGACTGTTTTTAGAGTTCAGATTTTTTTCTTTTTCTTTTCCAATATCAGGGCTTGAAGTTGGGGGCTGGCACTCTCACTTAGCTTTCTTGCTCATGATTGGTGCTATATCACCTGAGCCGTACCTCTAGCCCAGCTTGTTGATGGTTATCTTGGAGGTGAAGTTTCATGGACTCTTCTGCTTAGGCTAGCTTCAAACTAGAGTTCCCCAGATCTGAGTAACTAGAGTTATAGTCATGAGCCACTGGTGCTAGCCAATGTGTAAACATATACATAATATATATATATATATATATGTATATATATATATATATATATATACACATACATATGGAGAGAAAGAAACAGAAAGAAAGAAGGAGGGAAGGAGGGAGAGAGAGAGAGGAAAAAACTGAAGCTTGGAGACATGAAGTAAGTTACAGGTTGTTTATTTAGTAAGCTAAAGAGTTTTGGTTCCAAAATGCCATCTTCCATGCCTCGGGTTTTTAACCGCCATCCGGCACTTATCATGATTCATCACAAAAGCACTAAAGCCCTTTTCAAAATTCCCTGTTTACTGTAGAAAACTTTTCCTAAGGATAAGCCCTAGGAATTGTTACCATCAAAACAAATTGGGTTTTTTAAAATTTTTTTTCACTTTTCTTTTTTTTTGTCAGATTCGAGAAGGCGTCCCTCCCTTGTAATAATTTGTCTCCACTAGGAGGACAGGGACAGATTTTTAACCAGATGTGAAGGAAATAAACCTGCTTCGTAGAAAAGGATCAGAGATGACAAGTAGTAGTGACTGATGTCAGCAGGAGCAGCTAAGGGCCCTGTGGTCATTTAGCCTAAGGGTGTGGGGACAGAGAAGGAGCAATGGCCCTGGGCATGATGGCCCTGGGGTAGCTAAAGGGTTTGTTTCTACAGAGAGACACCCAGCTTTTCCTTCTTTTCCCCTCAGGGCTGAATATGAGGAAATGAGCTCCATTAAAACCAGACAGATTGCTGCTGACTCTAAAGAAGAACTTCTCAGCCATTAAGATGATGAAATGCTGAATAAAGTTCCTTGGGAAGTGTTGACGTTTCTATTCCCTGAGATATTAAAAAAGAAAATCAAAACTATCTATCATGAATGATTTAGATGTTCTTCCCAGTGAAAATAAGTCTCTTAAGGTCCTCTCTGCCCCAGAATTTCAATAGGCCTGAGCCACTTTAATTCTTCCTTTCAATAGAGGTAAATGCCATCCAAGGACATTGAGCCAACAAAGGCCCAGTATAACTATTATTATTAATAAGAGTTCACATGCATTGTCTATTCACTGTGTCTCAGCTTTGCAACACCACAGCTTTGCATCATTATTTCCATACATATTGTGAAATTCCGAGAAGTCTAGTAACAAAGCAAAGAACTAGTAGACAGAATTCTAACCCAGAACCATCCATGTTTAATTGCAAATGGCCTTATGGAATTTTACCTTTAACTCTTTCAACAGATTTCTTAGCTGACATCCTGGGAGGTTTTCCTGCTATCCCTGGAAACTCTCCAGAACAACCTTGAAACCTGCCAAGTCTGATTTATATCACATTTCTAGGAAACTAGCAAATAGGGAGGCCACAAGTAGAAAGAATAATTGTCAAAGGTAAGGAAGAATCATATATCTCTGCTTCCTGGGCCCTCATGGAATCACAAAGCATCAATTCTGCTCACAAAACTAAGCAGTGAGTAGGCATAAATGATACAGTCCCAGTCAAGCATGAGAAAAGACATGCTGGTGGTTTGGGATTAGACAAGTATAAAAGAAAGCAGAAGTACTGTACTAGGGTGTGCAGAAATGACCTCTGAACTGCACAGCCCCTGGCATGACTTTGAAGGCTCAAGTTGCTTTGACAATGCAAGAGCCCTTATTTGTGTGCCAATCCTTTACATCTGAGGTCCCAGGACAAGGAAACAAATCTCTTTGATAGAGAAGACACCTTGGCATAAGTGCCTGTAAAGAGCATTTACTGAGTGTGGTGTCTGGTGCCTCTCCCTGGAAGCCGGGTCCAGCAGGACTTCCCTGTGGACACCAGCTGGCCGCTTCAGCATCTCCATTACTCCTGGTCCAGATGACTTCAAGCTGGAATTTGGTTTATGAGGCTCTGACCTGCAACTTATGCCCCTAAACACTATTTGCCTTGGAAGACTTTTGCAAAATACGTATATGTACCATCATCAAAACATGGTCTCTGCTCTGTACATCTTTCAACATTACTCAAAATAAGGCTTTTCATGCTACCAAGGAGTTCCAGATGAAAATAGAAATGATGCATGAGGGTAAGAGCTCTGATGAAAGTATTCTGGATTGTTTATAAGCACAAGGAGAGCCCCTAGCTGTAGACATTAAAGCATGCTCTCAAGGGGTTGAAGACTGAGCAGAACTTTCTGTTGGTAGCCCAAGCTTCTATAAAATATACTAGACCAGGTGACTAGGAGGTTGAGAATCAGAGTAACATACTCACAATTTCATTTAACCTTAATTTCTTCTTAACGGCCCAACACAGACACATTTAGGGATTTAGGACTTCAATACACAAACTCAGAGAGCACAAAAAAAATTCAGTCAATAACATCTTTAGAATGGAATTTGGAAAGTAGTTATGTTAAAGAGTGCATCCCAGGTAAACATATCAGTATGCACAGGTTTAAAGTACCTGTGTACCAAGAATGTCCAGAGTAGTCCAACATGGTGGATGCAGATTCTGGTGAAAGCAGAAGGAAAATCTGGAATGCTTTCTTTTTCTTTCCTGTTTTCCTTTCCTCTTCCTTTCTTCCTTACGCTCTCCTTTTGCATTACCATGATTTGAACTCAGGGCATCATACTTCCTAAGCTGACACTGTACCACTAGAGCCATTACTCCAAGCCATGCTTTTTTGCTGGAGACTTTTGAGATAAAATCTTGGAAATTTTATCTAACAGGGATGACCTTGAACTGTTATCCTCCTACTTTCAGCCTGCAAGATTATTGGCATGAGATACCAGTGCTGGCTGGAATGTTTTCTATGCACAGTGTATTTTACATACATCATCCACTAGGGTGTGGGCAGAACTTTAAATAGAGGAATCAAACAGTTTTGTATTTTCAGGGGAAAAAAGATTAGTTGGTTTTCATTTAGTGAATAAATAGTAGGACAAAAGGAGTTGGATTTGGGACGTAAGCCTGAAACAGTCCTAGAAAAATGAAAAGGGGTTTTGCAAAGCAACAACAGTAGCCAAATGGATGATGAAAGGTGTTGGAATGTGTTTAGGGGGCAGAATAATAGCAATGATTGACTCTAGAGAATGCAGAAGGGATACGTGTAGAGAATTTTCATTCTTTGGAATGGGTAAATGGGCTGTATTTATGTTACTGTATTGGGACTACAGTTGAGTTAGAACTGCATACTGTGTTTGTTGTTGGTTTGTTCTGTCCTCTGACTGCCCTGCCCTTCTGCTCTTTCCATAAATCTCATTAACATTTTAGTAGATGAAGACATGAAGGAAAGAGTAAAGATACAAACTGTGATCATAAAAATTTGTAAGAATTGACTTTGTCGGTGACGCCGGGGCGCCGCTGGACCAGCTGGACGGCGTGCGTGCGGAACCTCTGAGCGACTGAGAAAAGTGGGCATTCTTGAGGCTATCTGCACCTTGTGACTGGGAAAAGATGGTCAACGTCTTGAAAGGAGTGCTTATAGAATGCGATCCCGCCATGAAGCAGTTCTTCCTGTACTTGGATGAGTCTAATGCGCTGGGGAAGAAGTTCATTATTCAAGACATCGATGACACTCATGTCTTTGTAATAGCAGAGTTGGTTAATGTCCTCCAGGAGCCAGTAGGTGAATTAATGGACCAAAATTCTTTTTCTCTTACCCAGAAGTAAAAATACTAAACATTGACCACTTAGGAATTATAAGCAGCAAATGTGAAAGACCATCCCCATTTCAAATCATGTAATCAGTTAAACCTAGCAGATTGTTTAGGAGCATGTCGTAGGAAAGATGGTAGGATCATTTGTTCAAACCAAAAAAATCAAAGCCCTGAACCGATTGTACTTTAGAAGTTAAAAAAAAAGAAACCTTAAACAGTGGGCTATTCTTTTTTTTTTTTTTTTTTTTTTTTATTTTATTTTATTTGAAAACATACTGTACAGAGGGGTTACAATTACATGGGCAGGAAAATGCATACATTTCTTACCAAGCATTGCAGCCTCCTCCTTTGTTTACCCTTCACCTCCCTTCCCAGCTTCCCCCCTCCCCCCTACCCAATCATACCCCCCCTCCCTCCCCCCCACCGACATTGTAAAGCTGGTTTTGACATGACATTTTGTACTTCTCATTGTTGCAACAGGTCCACCTGAATCCTTAAACGACTTGTTTGTCCCCGTCTCCTCCACATGTTATACTGACATCAAATATAGTGAAAGCGGGGGTTACACTGTGGGGGAGGGACATACAAAGCAACAAAGAAATAATATTATAAATGCGTTAGAAACACATGCATGAATGAAACAAAAACATTAAAATACATATTTGAGGGTTCGTTTTCCTAACATCACATTCTCTGACTTTTTCCGCTTGACTCATACCTATACTAGATATTGCAAATAAGGGAAACCATGGGACCTATGTTTCTTTGGGCCTGGCTTAATTCACTTAATATAATTTTTTCCAAGCCTTTCCATTTCCTAACAAATGGGGCAATGTCATTCTTTCTGATGGAGGCATAGAATTCCATTGTGTATATATACCACATCTTCTTGATCCATTCATCTACTGAGGGGCATCTGGGTTGGTTCCATATCTTAGCTATAGTAAATAATGCTGCAATAAACATAGTTGTGCTGGTAGCTTTAGTGTGGCCTTGTTTGTGGTCATTTGGGTAAATCAGTGGGCTATTCTTTTAGTAAAATAAAAATGTTTTTCTTATTTTTAATACTAATTTAACACATCAAAAATAAAATGGAATATGCCATTCGATTTTCAGTGTAACTTAGATAATTATGTTACTTGTTCCTGTTCATAATTGTGAATTTTATAGTATGAATTCTGTTGATTCTGTTTCAGTTATAAACTTCATAGATTTACTATTTAAATAAAAATGCCAGGGTAGAAAAAAAAATTGGTAAGAATTTGGTGAAACAACAGTATTACAATTTAAATGCCAAACCACTCTGTACAACTACATAAAAATAATAGCAAATTAAAATAAATAAATAAAATACAAACAATGAATTCTTTGTGTGCAGATAGCTTGTATAATACTATATTTTATTAACAGTAAAATTAACGCTAATTACAAGAGCTTATATACTAACTCAAATTGTATGTAGATTCCAGTGAATGCTTGACACACATTCAGTGCATCCTGAACCTGACTATAATACCAACTCCTACCATTATTTGTAATTAAAAGACTATTCCTGGAACCCATATGTCCAGATGCACTGACAATTGTTCTGATCATATTACTTTAGATCAGTACTGCCCCACAGAACTACAATGAAAACCACAAATGTAAGCTAGTAGTCACTTTTAAAGAAGGTCAAAAGTAACTGAGCTTAAATGTTGTCTATTAATCCAATAGATAGAAATATTATTTCACATGTTAATACAGTATTTTGTAGTTTGCGTACTCACTATTATATATACCTTGTTTGTATTTTATACTTACAGAACAACTCAAGTCAGAGGAACTCCAAGTCAAGTGCTCAATGTCCTTTGATTTGAGGGAGCCATACTGGGCAGTGGCTCAAGTCTAGACCAAGCACTAAATATGAAACTACTGCTTATGAAATATCAAGGTACTGGTTTATTATAAAAACATGAAATACTGAATGGCATTTTAAAGATCATATAATGACAATCTAGAGAAATGACAAATCATATAATGACAAATCTAGCTTCTCAAAGCTTGTACAAGGAAATTTTCTGAGAAAATGTTTATAAAGCCGTGAGAGAGGATGCAGTCTCTTAACACCCTGAGGAAGATGTGATTAGAGCATTTTCCTTGTCACAAAGATAAACAAGATAGTTTTGCCTTCTGAGAAAAACCAGAGGTGATTGTAGATAAGATCAAACTACTCTTACTACATGTATAATCTCCTGGGTGACAATAACAGGGGAGATTTGTAACCAACATGAATCCATGATGAGCTCCAACAGCATAATTACCTTAGCTCTCCAGTGTTCACTGATCACGATTATAATAATATGGCTAAAAGGAAAGTAACATCCCAAGATGGTTACTACAAACACCACTTGTAAGTTTTGCTTCTTTTTTTTTTTTTCAGCATCTCCTCTTACAGTTTGTTTTTTTATTTTATGATCTAGTAGTTGTCCAAAGACGTTACAACTCCATATCAGGTTCTGAGTCCAGTGCATTTTTGTCAATATCGCCCCTTACCATCATTTCCCCCTACCCTCACCTACCCTCAAGTTACATAGTTTAATGATTACATAACGAACATTGAATATAATAACTGTGTTTGCTCACCCTTCCTCCCTCCATTCCTGTGCCCTCCTCTTTGTCTTCCCTCCCCCTAAAACATGTTTCCACTTTCTGTTGTTCAGAGGAGTTACACCTTTGGACTCCTCTCTTTAGTACATCATCCTTTAGTCAGTTTGTTTTTGTGTTTGTGTGTATACATAAAACCATGTATATGTTATCATGCATGTTTGTATTTTAGATCTAGCTTCCATATCAAGAGAAAACATGCACTAATTATCTTTCTAAGCCTGCCTTTCTTCACTTAACATAATTTTTTCTGGGTCCATCCATTTCCCTGCAAATAACATAACATTATTCTTTCAAATAAATAAGTGTAAATACATTACATATATGTACCACATTTTCTTGATCCATTCATCCATTGCAGGGCATCTGGGCTGTTTCTATAACTTGGTAATCATGAATAGTGCAACAATAAATTGGATGTGCAAATGTCTAATTTTTTAAGTGAAATGGTTTTAAGTGGAAGTCTTGAGTTCTAAAACAAAGAAAAATTAGGAAACTACTGGAATAAAAACGGTGAAATGACTTTTGATATTCTTCTCTCTGCCTCTGTCTGTCTCTCTCTCTCTCTCCCCCCCCCCTCTCCCCCCTTTTCCTGGTACTGGGGCTGAACTCAGGGCCTGGGCACTGTCCCTTAGTTTTTTTGCTCAAGCCTGGCATTCTACCATGTGAACCACAGCTTGCTTCTGGCTTTTTCTGTGATTAACTGGAGATGAGTTTTATGGACTTCCCTGCCTTAGGCTGGCTTCAAACCATGATCATCAGATTACTCTCTCCTGAGTAGCTAGGATTACAGGCATGAGCCACCAATGCCAGGCAAAGATTTGTTTGCTTTGTCGGTCATAGAGCTTGAACTGTTGGCCTGGGCGCTGTCCCTCAGCTCTTCAGCTCAAGGCTAGCGCTCTGCCACTTGAGCCACAGCTCCACTTCTGGTTTTCTGAGTGGTTTATTGGAGGAGATAAGCGTCTCATGGACTTTCCTGCCTGGGCTGGCTTTGACCCGCATCCTCAGATCGCAGCCTCCTGACTAACTAGGATTAGAGGCGTGAGCCACCAGTGCCCGACAAAGATTGTTTTTAATGGCTAGGGAATTAGCTCATTGATAGAGTACTCACCTGGCATACACAAACCCTGGGCTCTATCCACAACAATAATAAAAGTTATAATTCTCTGCTACAATAGAACCCTAGGCATCTATGTGATGTTTCTTCCATTGGGGGTTTCAGAAATGCCAAATGCATCTTTCTCACCTCTGATAACATTGTGATGATAGACCAAGCTGGCTAAGTCACCTGGAAGGGCTGTTTGTAATGTAGTTTGAATCTGGCTGTGTCCTTTATTGTGGTAGCCACATTTAGATCTGAAAGCTGGGGGTTGTCTGGTGTCCTGGCTAAAACAGTTACCCCAACATGTGGAATATACTGTCTCTAACACCTCTGAGGCCTGGTAGGCATTCCTTCCTACAATTAGGATCTCCAAGTGTGCTATATTGTCTTATAATCATGAATCCAATTTCCATATCAGGCCTGATGCCCTCTGGGCTCTGCATTCAGCCTTTCTGATCCATAGGCCTGTGTCTGATCCACACAGAACTCCACATGGTTCTAACTACTATGGCTTTGTAATAACTCAATTTCAGGTAAGGCCCTTCTTCTCTGTTCTTTTACAATCATGTTTGGATTGCCTTGGCCCTTTCCATTTCCATATAAATTTTAGCACCATCTTATCAAATTACATACACACATATGCATATACATGCACATGCACACTCACAAACACACATACACACACACAAACATTCTGTTTTGTCTTATGGTTGTTAAGCAGGTTCTTAGCAATGACCCTAGCCCATAATTGTTACTATGATTGGATTTGCTTTGACTATAGAGAAATTAATTTTGTCATCATTAGCATCTTTAATACTGAGTCTTCAACATAAGTGGAATGTCTAAGAATTTTGGCATTTTTTCATGTTTTTCTCATTTTTTATCTGCTTTACTTTACAAGTAATACTGTCAATACAGTGATTTATAAAGTGGCTATATACAGTAATTGTGTTGTAGTCAATTCTCAAAGAGGAAGTTTTAATCATGTGACCATGAAGTCTTCTATTTACATTGTATTTATTTTCAGATTGAATTAAAGAAGCTTCTTTCTTTCTCCTTGAATGCTGAGAAGTTTATTACAAATAAATGTTAAATTTTAACAAATGTTTTCCCTGTATCTACTAAAAATTAGCATGTGATTTTTCTTCCTCTTTATTTTTCAATAAAGTGAATTATGTTATTTTTAAACAAGAAATTAACCCTTCATTTTTTAGGAGTAAGTCGAACTTAATTTAGTGTATTCTTGCTTTTTATAAGTTGTTGAATTCTATTCTGACTAGCATTTAGTATCTCTATTCATCAGTGGTATTGACTTGTGCTTTTTTTATGATGATATATTGTCAATTTTTAGTGAAAAGGATTTTTCACTAAAAGAATTTTTCTAAATACTCATGTTATTA